TGTTTAAATAACAAAAGTTATAATCACTTTAGCTTTTGACATTATCAGTGATAAAAGGAAAGATTCGCAAAGTCTTTAAAGCAGGCAAAGTTATTTATTAAGTTACATGTTTAAATATACAGACAGTAGACTGGAACAACACACTGTATAGAAAACTTAGTTGTAACAAGTAATTTAATGGTTGTGCAAACGAGGCCGTAAAAGCCTTTCTTGGAGTAGGCTGTGAGGTTCCGCACCGGTGTGCTGGAGTGGTGGGGTTAAAGCCTTTCTCCCAAATCAACAGTTACATTTCCTTCTTACGCCCTGAGCAAAGCATTGTTAAAAATGAGTGGAATACCAACACAGAAACCGACCTACAGGAAACCAAATGATGAGGCAAATGGGTGGTGATCAAGAGGGGGAGAAGAACATTAAAATATTCTCCTCAATGCATGTTTAACCAATAGCACCTACAAATGTCTATTAAGTTCACCACCATTCATTTCAGTGTATAAACTGTCAGATGAGACCAAACATGACATAATTACATATTAGAACACACTAGTAAATAAACAGTAGTTGAAAGCATGTGAACCAAATGGTACAGATGTGCCATTGAGGTGCAAATCTCGACAGAACCATCCCGTGCCTGGAGTGTCCCAACAGTCCTCAATCAGCATATTGATGAAATCCCTTGCACTAGATAGCCATTAGCATACTGTGATAATGAAGGCCATTGCGCCATGTTTAATTCACATGATGTATACCTTTAAAAGGCTTTTTGAAGTACTAGGGCAGTAAAGAGTTCTGCCCATATTTGCTCACCCCTACAGTAGCCTACCTTAATTTAATTTCCTACTGTTTCGGAGAGAAATGTAGTAGCACATTGATCTGTCAGTCGTGGGTCTTTCATGCGGAGAACTCTACATTGCAATTTGCAAAATGATGCATATAAAATTAAATGACTCATAGCCTATCTTTACAAAAGTTCACGTTGTTGCAGATGACAAATTAGGTGGATAACATTGAATTAATATCTTTACTGATTATTAATCACTCAAACCCCTTTATATAAACCTCTTAACCGTACATCCAACCGTTTGTAGTATTTTTACACTTTTTATTCGTGTTTGTAGTTCTAATCGAAAGTTATTGCAGCAGCTATTTACATTACACAGTTTACAGTGCTTTTGGATAATATTGACCCCTTCATCTATGCTAAAATGCTTAAATTTCTTTTTTAAACAAATCTATACTCCATAAAAAAAAACAGATTTCTTATAAAAAATTAAAAAAAATTAAAAGAAAAAATTTAACCTATTCAGACCCTTTGTGCGAAGACACTTAAAATTTAGCTCAGGTGCACCATATTTGACATGCGCTGCGTTCGAAATCGAATACTTCCCTACTCTCTGAAAATATTAGACATGCGCTGCGTTCGAAATCGTATACTTCCCTACAATCTGAAAAAAAGTTTTCCAGCAGAGTAGCCTATGTCCAAATACACAGTATAATACACTGATAGAGTCCAGCTGTGGCAAATTCAATTGATTTATGACATGATTTGGAAAGGCACTCACCTGTCCGAAAGCTGAAAAATGCTGACTCCGCAGCAGCATATGGCAATGTCCAAATCCAATGATCATGTAACATTCTGTCTATTGAGATTTTTGAAGGCAACATATGCATCATGTATTCTTCATTGTCTATGATATCTCACTATCTCATGCGTTCGATTCCATGACAGTTGAGCGAAAAAATTAAAATGGCATTAGAAATTGGGGCTGGTGGTCAGTTTGTGAGTAAAAGTATATTTTTGACCAACCTTTTCCACTTTTGATGTAATTTCTATCGAGAAACAGTGGGGTAAGCGCCACCTACTGTCAGAGAGTCAATATGCATTTTCATTCAGTCCGTCTGCTGTTTTTGTTTTGTGCAGTTTAATGTTGCATAATTATTTCACAAAGATAAAGTTAGACCATTCTGTTTTTGCTTTAAATCTTGAAATTCTAATTTAAATCAAAAACAACTGCTCATGCTACATGTGTGCAGCATCTTTTCACGATCCAAAGTTTGGATCGTGATTAAAATGCACTGCAAATAAGTTCCAGGCCCATGTTTGACCTGTAATATATAATAAACGACAAATAAATTAAAGAAGAAAAGAAAAGAAAACAGCTGCCGGTATCGGGACAGATCCCAAGAAGAGGTCTCCGACAGGTGAGAGTCGAGCCAGAGAAACGACAGATTAGACAAGCACAAAAACACACGGGCAATTATAAAGGACAGAAGGAAAAGACTATATAAAGCGGAATCAAGAGGGGAGTAGAGACAGTGAGCGGATGCCAACTGGAAAGAATGAAAACAAAAACAACTGCTTGAATTGATTAGATCGATTAGAGAGCAGACAGTTCAGCATACGGTTTACATTTGTAAAAGTATCTGTTCATTAGTGAATCCTGGAAAAGGACATGTGTTTTGCACAACCATTTTCAACAGTGATAGCATGTGTTTCAGCATATTAGAAGGATTGTGTAACACTGTTATAGTTTACTGAGTTACATTTTTTTTTTTTTGAATGCTTTGCACAGCTACTATCACGTGCTCAGGGCATATACATATTTTTGTCCAATAAAATGCTCTAAGAGTATCTGCACTCATTCTTGTGGCACCATCAGCCTGTCATGATATCATTTTCATGATACAATTAGTCCAGAACAATTTCATAACAATTAGTCACCTGGCATTTAAAGCTCAAGTGACTGGCCTAAACGATATTTGAGATTTGAGATACTTGGTTGTAGACTTAAAATATTAAAATATACTTAGAAAATTAAGCTTTTTCCCATTTGTTGTTTAATCAATGGGATCGGACACCAGTTATTTTGCGAAGAGATCTCTTTTATTTATTTTATGTATCAGCATGGAGAAAGACCGTTTACTGGAGAAATGTTCACATACCCATTTTTCTCATTCTCTGTCCCTCTGGACAAAGAGGTTGCGTTTTATATGCTCAGTGGAACATATTTTTATTTATTTAGCATGGAATGTGTACCCAATCATTATCACCTATGAAACAGTATATAAACTAAACTTATGTCTCCCACTCTCACACATGTTCATGTAGTGCTTGTCTCATGTCTCTCTTACACACATGCATTCAAGAACACTATGATTCACAAAATTGAATGATTACAAATGATTATGAATACTAATAAAGAATAATAATATTAAACAATAAACATTTTGTCTTAATTGGTATGTGCAAAAATACCACATTTCAAATTGCACATTTACGGAGGTTCTTGATCAACTGCCATGGAGTTAAAGTCCCCATGAAATCAAAATTGTTTTATGTTTTATGGCTTTTAGTATGAATATGTTAGCCTTACTGTTATCTATGTGCTTCAAAACAATGACAAAATTTGCATTTAGAGGATAAGCATTCAAAACTAACAGTCTCTCACTTTCGCCAATATGGAACAGTGATTTTGATGACATCACTCTGCACTTCAGCTTCTCATCGGATTTTCTGTCCAATCAAATGCTCTAAAATCTGAAGCATCCCGACCCCTACATTATACATTGATGTTGAAGCTGCAGCTGAAATTGGTCTCTTGTTCCCACATTTACTGTTTTCCACATGGTGAATGGCACATAGTGCACTATATAGGGGATAGGGATTGATTCAGACAGTGTAAATAGGCGAATAAAGTCTGGTTTCACGTTAGTCAGGCAAACCGCTGCAGTGCGCACACAGTCTGCTTCGGTCCAGAGACACGATAGCACAGAGCGGATCATATGCGCGAGTCGGTGCATACCAGAAAATGTATCAGAACCATTTGAATTCTGCACAGAATGCTATATTTTAAAGCAGCATATTAGGATATTAGTAGGAGAAACGGTTCGAGATTAGGAGGAAACTGCGGCTTTACCAAGCTCAACAGCTCTGGGAGGTTCAAAGGTAAAACTTGAACTCTGATTTCCCTTATGGAACAAAAAATATATGGGAATATACTGCAAAGTATAATGTGATATTACATAATACATTTCCATATGGGAAACGAGTGCTTATATTTTTCAATATACTGCAATATATGCTTTGAACATGTATTGCATTGATACATAAAAGATTTAGAAATGCATTACATGTAATTCTCATAAAGTTTTATCCTTTATTATGTACATATATTGCACATACATGTTCCCATATAAATGTGAATGTATGTGTACACACATTCACGGAATGAGTTATGTCAGTAGTTACAGACTTCTAGTTCCCAGCATGCTTTGCTTCTGACTGTTAAAGGAGAGTAAATGTTAAATTATAAGTGTTAATATTAAATATAGTGCTCAATATTATATAGGGGGGGAGATACATACTTCCGAGTCTACCGTACATACGTTTAATTCTTAATCACTGTTATAATAGAGGTGAAAACTGGCAGAACGGTAAGTTATTGAACTAATATTCATTTTCATGCTGTTCCACGGATAAAAATGTAAGTGCATTTTTCACATTAAATGCATCTTGAAATAAGACCCCCCCCCCCCCCCCCCCCCCAAAAAAAAAAACTCAGTAAGAAAAAGCATTTTTTTTGCTGCGTGAATGAAATGAATATGCAGTGATACATGATTCCAGAGGCGCCAGAACTATTGTTTACACTGTATTTTAGTTATCTCTTTGAATTTTTCAGAGCTCTTTAACTACTTTATTTGATTTTGTTTACCCTATTGTACTTTTATTTAGATTTTTATATTATTACCTTCCTGAAACTTTTTTTATTTATTTTTGCAGATGTTTTTTTTTCTTGTTTTCTTGTTCTGTTTCTGTTTTATTTTCATATGCATTATTATTTAATATTTGCATATGAACGAAAGTAAATGCATAATGTTAATGTTTATTTAAAAAGCAAGGCTCCGCACAATAAAAGAAAAAAAAGTACAGTGAAAGAAAATGAGATTAATGATATACGTGACGCGAGTGCGTTTGGCCCAGTTTGGCCACAGTCTGTGATGTCATCCGTCCGCGACATCATTCTTGTAGCATGATATGCTAACCAACAGTGCAGAACGAGTTGAGCATTTATTTTCGTAAAAGGTGTGTATCTAGCTTCAGATATTAGAACAGTTAAAATGCATGAGTGGTTTAAGCTTAGACATTAATCATTTAGTATATTTATATAGTACAATAAGCGTTGCAAGACGTTTGGAAGTGAGTGCTAAATGCATAAATAAGACTTGACTGTAAGAACCATGTTTTATCATTTTTGTAACGGAAGTTCTAACTGCAGGTTAATTTAGAATGTGGTTTAATGTTTAAAATACATATAGACGTCTAACTGGCTCCTTGTGTGATACTTTAGCTTCTGTTACATAGCACACTGATGTTTGGAACACGTTTATATGTATAATCCTGTTTCATGTTTGTGTATTTCAGTGTTTTTATTTGGGAAGGAGGTAAAATGTCTTTATATGATGATTTGGGGGTCGCAACGAGTGACACTAAAACAGAAGGATGGTCTAAAAACTTTAAACTGCTTCAGTCTCAGCTGAAAGTGAAGAAAGCTGCATTGACACAAGCAAAGGTGGGTCAGTGTTTATGCCACATGCTTGACAATAACACAGTGTGTCTCTTTCTTATATTAATAACTGGAGAGTATAGGCGTCAATGTTCCTTTTTATCATGTAAAACCTGAACATATTTGGGAATTTTAAAATGGTTTTCCATGGAAAAATCTGAAATGTCTTAATTTATTTTGTTTCTATTATTGGTTAGATTGAAATTATTTAATTGGCTAAAAATAGATCATTGTGAGTAATATCTCTTTCATATATTATGTTATTTATAATATAATATATCATACATATATTTTTGTGCATGATTATCCAGTAACCACAAATAACTTGAAAAGTTGTGGAAATTAATTCTTGAGTCATGGAAAGTCGAAAAGTGTGACCGACAAATGAAACTGACTTCTTTTGCAGACTCAGAGGACGAGACAGTCAAATGTTCTTGCTCCGGTTATCGATCTAAAGAGAGGAAGTTCAGGGGATGACAGACAGATCTCTGATACACCTCCACACATCGCTGCAGGGATGAAGGTAAACAATGTGTATATTGCCGGCTGATTATAGCCTGGGAAAACCCAGACAACTTCCGGCAAATTTAGATTTGCTCTGTAAGTTAGTCTGGCAAAGAGCTCATTCAAGCCCATTTCCAATCCGTCGAAATCGAGGCACCAATCAGAAAAGTTGGGGCGGGCTTTACACGATGACGACAGCGCTGGGATTTTGAAGCAGATTTTGTAGCCTACATTACAAAGATGGATGCCGCCGTCGAACATCACTCGTTCGAATCAGCTATCGCGTCTGTTTTAAGCGATTTGAACGTTTCTGTTTTGTTAAAAACCGAGCAAAGAACAACACTCGCGCCGCTCTGCATACGTCATCTCCTTCATCGCTCTGATTGGGTTTAGGTCTATCCGCGACGTCCGTTGGTTACGCCCCTCTGGAAATGATTTGTCTATGACGCTTTGCCAGACCATAACTCAGTTACAACTGAGAATGGTCTGGTTTTAACCAGGCTAGGCTGATTATGCACGATTTAGGGATTTTTTTTAAAAGATCCAGGTTAGGGGTGGGCGATATGAGAAAAAAAAATCATATCACGATATTTTTCACTGTCCGGGCGATATCGATATTATATTTCGATATGAGAAAAAAAATTCGGAATCACATTTTAGTACACCTTAGTTAAATTACAGGCAAAATATGTATTTTAACCCTATAACTAAAAAAAGATGAGGGATTTAATTGGACATAGACCTGAAAAATCTTTTTTTATTGTGCCATTGTTTTTCTCAAAAAGTGCAAACGTAAAGGTAGGCCTGAATTCACTTATGTCTTTCCACTTTTTATTTTGTGGGGGTCAAAATAATTCCTTCGTTAATAATTAATAACTAGTAACACTGGAGTTTGGTTTATTGAATAAGTTATAATCAATAAATATGAAATATTGTGATTTCAGAGAGGTTTGACACTTAGGCTTATTGAAGACAACATTATGTTAAAGGGATACTCTACTGCTTTTTCATATTAAACTATGTTATTCCCTTAACTAAGATGAGTTGATACATACCTCTCTCGTCTCAGTGCGTGCACTACATCGCTGTCTTGCGGCGAAACTTTGTTAGATCTTATCTCAGCCCTGTTCATTCAATACGTGCCAAGAAGAGAAGCGACCAAACACCTCCACGTTTTCCCCATTTAAATACAGTTACACGAGTAGTGTAACTCGACCTAGGACGGTGACACAAAATAAAACGTTGCGCTTTTCTAAGCGTGTAAAATGGATAACTATATTGTATGGCAGAATACCATAGCAAGAGCTTGGGAGCAATTCGACTCGGCGCAGTAATATCATCTCTCGTGAAAAGTCCGCTCCCGTTGAAATGAGAGGGAGGAGGAAAGGGAGCGGGGGGAGCGGACTTTTCACGAGAGATGATATTACTGCGCCGAGTCGAAGTGCTCCCAAGCACTTGCTATGGTATATATGGGCTGAGATAAGATCTAACAAAGTTTCGCCGCAAGACAGCGATGTAGTGAGACGAGAGAGGTATGTATCAACTCGTCTTAGTTAAGGGAATAACATAGTTTAATATGAAAAACCAGTAGAGTAGCCCTTTAACCGAGAAGTTTTTGCATACTGACCAAAAGAGAGAAGTAGGCTACGTTCTGCTAATTCAGTGGTGAGAATTTAATTGTTGTTTTTATTTATATTGTTGTCCATTTATCATTTATACTCTTATATAGTAATTATATATTACTATGTACCAATTTACTGCTTGGACACACTCTGTCTCTCGCGGAGTTCGCTTCGCTTTTGTCCAGTCCGCCGCCTCATAGACAGATGCTGTGTGTGTGTGTGTGTGTGACCATCTTATCTGACTCCCTAAAACCTCCTCGGCCTAACTGACTTTGACTGAAGGAGGAGTTATTTGTTCACAAACCGCTTCTCACAGCATTTGTAGATTAACTTTGAAACATCAGAGAAAGAAAAAAACATAAATGACAATATATCTGAGTTCTTCTAATAAGTGTATGACAGAAAAAGTGTCCCAATGCTCAGTGATATAATTAAAAGGGTAAGATATATATATCCCCATGCTTCAATCAAAATCTAACCCTTACATGTACGGCATAATCTCCGTTGGGACACTAAAGACCTTATTTTCAAGTGATAGTGTCAATAGTGGGCGAGACGTCTTTGTGAGACTTTTAGGCGGGGTTAGATTGCGGTCAGGTAACTTTAATTCTTGGGCATTCGGTAAGAACAGCTACGCTAAGGCGTCAACCCGGACATAATATTATTAGGTGTCAAGGACACCTGGTTCAACTAAAAATGAAAACTATTACAAACTGAAAAACGACTTCAAACTTTCTGGCTAGGCTTTTTTAAGCCAACTTTAAAGTTTGTCTTTTCAAACTTTACTATCTAGTTATTATTATTATTTTAGTTTGATTGTCATTATTTGATGATTGTCATTATTACTAAATAAAAATATTTTAAAATAAGAAATAGCCCTATAACTCTTGTAATATTACTATTACAATATTTAAGAAATGTATTATAATAACAATAATACATGTATTTTACAGTTCAACTGTAAAATTGCAATAATAATGTTTATGCAGCAGCAGGTTGAAAAGCACTTCTCATTACAAGTTTATGACGATGGTTGATGCATTCCCAAAGCGATCCAAACTCAGAGCAAATGCAGAGATGAGTTCATACGGAACAACATCTGTTGCGTCACTGAAAACACCAGATAATGAGCTGCTTGCATGTTAAAGATCACAGTTCTGTGCTGCACCCTGAAACATGCAGTTTAATTCAAGTGTTTGAAGTACACTATTCCGTAATTAATTCAATTACAGCAGGGGTCTCAAACTCGCGGCCCGCGGGCCATTTGCGGCCCGCGGGGTGATATTTTGTGGCCCCCTACTTGACATTAAAGTGTAATGTTAGTGCGGCCCGTCGTTGCGTGTGCCGCGTTTTAAATGGGCTACCATACGGTGGGTTTGTTGTCAATAGTTGCCATAGACAACCGCTAAGTACAAACATACTGCGCGCCTGGAAAAAATGAGCGCGTCGCTTCAATTATGAGCGCGCTTGCCGCGCACACGCACCTACATTTGAAATAACGAACTTGAGCGCGCAAAATATGTGAGCGCGATATGTGAACTGCCCCTTGTCGAGAGCGACGTGTTGGAGAGAGACCCTGCTTTAAACAATGTGAGAATAATCATTTTGAGCTTGTAATATGTGTCTAACAGGTTGATAAGAAGGTTTGCTTTGATTTGTGCAGTCAGTAATTTGCCTGAGACACTATACATGTGTAGAAAGAATTCAATAAGACGGGCAGACATGACTGCAAATATTTGTATTTCAAAAGCAATAATTGTTTTTCTAATTATATAATAAAAGGAAATGTGCCTTCCAAAAAAAACATTCAATATCATTAATGTGTTGTATAAAGAAAATAAAAAGGACATAAGCAAATATAAATATTACATAGACAAAGAAAGTTTGTAAAATGAACTTCAACTGTCAGAAGGACAGCTCATGAAGAACCAATCATGTACAGAAAGGAATGTTCAAATTCAGAGGAACAGTTCAGAAGAAACGTTAATAATAAAGATTGAGAAGATTGGATCAGTTATGCTCCTTTTTTGGAATACTTGAATACTATTTTTTGTGGAATACTTGATGCGGCCCAGCCTGACCCAGACTCTACCTCCAGCGGCCCCCAGTTAAGTTGAGTTTGAGACCCCTGAATTACAGCCTTTGCGATTTGAAAAGTGCACTAAGCCATTGCACGATTTCTGTTTGATCTTGATTAATCTTGCAGCCCTACTGGCACCTCTTAGCTCTATGCTTTTAAAAAGGTGACATCACAGCATTTGATCTGTTAAAATCACAACCCTTCCTCCCAGTAATGTTACATTAAAAAATGAATGAGGGTTTGTCACTAAGTGGTTCATTATACTAAGATGCTCTTCTTAGAACATTAAGTTTCATTGACTATGTCTGTGTGTGTCCATTTTAGGACTCTGTGTCAGGTGGGTTTTCATCCGGAGATGTGCTGATTCCATTGGCTGACGAGTATGACCCCATGTTTCCCAACGATTATGAGAAAGTGGTGAAGAGACACCGAGAGGAACGACAAAGACAGAGAGAGCAGGAGCGGCAGAAGGAGATTGAGGAGAGAGAGAAGTATGCACTATCCACTATTGAAGAAAAATGCGATGTGCGATAACTCGTTAAATAATGCGATTTACGATAATGCTTTGTGTGTAAAATAAATTTATAATTTTATTTAAATATATTGAAAAACTGAAAATGACATAACCAATATACATGTTTTACATTCTATTTTTTTTAAGAGAAGACAGCATCTCTGCAACTTCTGAAAGTCAACAACAGTGTTTTACTGTAGCGTTACATAAAAAGTAAGTGTCATTTTAACGTCAGTGCAAACGCAGGGTTTAAGGTAGGCCTACATTAGGTTTATTTAACGACAGAAATTGAATAATCAAATGTAAAAATAAAAAAACGATCACTGTATGAATTAAATATAGACTGATTCATATTAAAGTTACAAAATGTATTCAGTCAAGAGCAGTGAGTGATTTTCTCTTTGTCTGTTGTTGTTTGATTAACAATAAGCAGGTTTGTTAGGCTGCAGTCACTTTAAGAGCTGCACGGATCCAATATATTGTTATATGCAGGCTTTTTTTCTCAACTGTTTACTCCCCTTACTAAATAACTGATTGTTTTTACGTTAATACTCAAGATGGCATTTTGACATAATGTTGTGTGTATTTGGTCATATAAACTGTGGAATAGAACTAAAATCGGTATTATGCTGTCTGAGAGGCGGCTTTCTGTGCGCGTGTGTAGGCATTGTCAGATGTATGTAACAGTCATGTGTCTAGTCTATTCTCTTCTGTCTGCATCAACCTAAGACTTAAGTATTAAAACCATTCAGTTATTGTTAGCCATTGCGATATGCATATCGCGATATGTACATTTGCGATATTCCGATAATTTAGATATATCCTCCTGAGACCCAGAAAAAAAAAAGTTTTTTGAATTTAGTTTTTTTCCATGTCATCACACTGTTTAGAGCACAATAAACAAATGGTAAAAAAACACATATATAAAATAATATTTTATTCATACGTTATGCTATGTCCTCTGTAGTGGACGCCAGGACTAAGTTGTTTAAAAAATAAAATGACATGAAATTATATGTATAGGCAAAAGCAATGGGATTTTTTTTCAATCACCAATACATTTTGGGGTTTCAGGATTTTTTCAACCAAAATTTGTATAAAGATTATTCTCAACTATGTTATGAAAGAAATAATGGAATGAATTGATACACCATTTTACTTTTTGCAATATGTGGGTAAAATGGCCATAAATTAATATTCCCATTCAATGCAATGTATCTACACACTGTATCTAATTTGCACATTAATGTGTTCTTGGAGCAACATTTAATGAAAAAATAAGTGTAATAATTGGAGTAATAATTGGCAACATTTTAATAATAATATCTAATATTTCATAGGAATATTGATGTATAATTTATTTCCATATTCACTTGTTGTGTCTCCCAGAATGCCTGATAAACATGATTTTAGTCCTGATGTCCTCTACAGTGGACACGTTTGAAATCAATGCCCTGTTCTGTAACAGAAAGTAATTTTTTTATTTGAAACCCCTTAACATTTTCCTGAGATGTTGTTTTATGAAATACAATTTGAAAAAGTAGTCCAATTTAAATATAATTACAATATATTATCATATTTCCATAAGAATGCTACATTTGATCACTAAATTAATGTCAGACATTTTTAAAGACCAAGGAGAAGTTGTTTTCATGGTGAAACCTCCAAACATTTGGTATCTCTCAAAAGTCCTGAATGTGCTCTTTACAGGACACCCAGGTTGTGTCATGTGACATGTATGATGTCAGAGAAATTCACTAAAATATAATGTCCACTACAGTGGACAAAAGTCTATTCTTGGGTCCCAGGAGGATATCATGCAGAAGGGCTGCACAATTAATCGAATTTCTAATCGCAATTATGATTATGGATGCCACAATTACGTAATCGTTCAAATCCGCAATTACAAAATAAAAGTCCACTTACATTATTCTGCGTGCTTAAGAGGTGTGTTTAGAGCATGTTACGTTGTAAGAGGAAATCACGACTACTTCAGAGAACCCAGCACAATAGGAACTATCAGTGGCGTAAGTGTACGCTGGTTGGTCCAACACACGCGGAACACCAGCACCCGCCATTTTTAAAAAGCCATGCACACAGCCCATTTACTTTTAAAAAGTAAATGGGCTGTAAATGGGCTTATTGTTAAACAGATCGTAAACTAAAGTCACAACAACAAGCACGGCTTACGTCACTTCAGAGTTCCTACTGGCAGTTTCAATGCAACCAGGAAAACGGCCATAGGGGAACATTAGTTCTCCGGGAACCACCCTGGTGGCTAGTTCCTATAACCACCCAGTGTGAAAGCCCCTATTATTAAACCATGCATATTTTTTTTTATTAAAAAAGAAACCAAACCATTGTTTAGTTGACATTTGAGGCTTAATGCTATAGAAAAGCAATACAAGTTTTCCAGGAAGAGTGTTTCCAGCTTGTTTTTTATTTTGCCATGCAGTTGCTTCAAACAATGGTATAACACTATTCAAAACATCATTCGATGTAAATTGTGAAAAGTTTTGACTGTTTCTTTAAATGCTCAAGCTTTTTAAAGCATGATGGGTTCTGATTGGCTGTCAATGTTTTTGTAATTTATCAGCTGGAAAAATCGTTCTGAAAGGGATTCCAACTTTATTGTTCTTCTGATGTTATCGTTGTTGTTATAGTTGTTGTGTGGACTTCCCTATTCTCACAGAATTAGAACAATTATTAAAACACACAATTCCAATCAGTTTTGCCAATTGAGCCAGAGCAGGTGGTTCGGAACAGGTTTGTAAAAATCAGGATATTTTTGCTGTTCAGATTACACAGAATTAAATTTATTTGATATTTCTTTTTCCATAAAATCTTATTTTTGCTGCCTGTCTGAACACAGCCTTAAAGGGTTAGTTCACCCAAAAATAGTAATTACTCACCCTCATGTTGTTCCTTCCAACCCCGTAAGACTTTCGTTCATCTTCGGAACACAAATTAAGATATTTTTGATTAAATCTGAGAGCTGGATCACTCCTCCATAGGCTTCTTAAGGGATCGAAACTGACCGGCCCAAAAGTTATAAAAGACATCGTTAAAATAGTCCGAGTGACTACAGTGGCTCAATCTTAAGTTTATCAAGCAACGAGAATACTTTTTGTGCGCCGAAAAAACAGACAAAAATAGCGACTTTATTCAACTAATCATTTCCTTCTCTGTTCGGCCGTGATATTTCACGTAGTGATATTGCGCAAAGCTTCTAGGTTGCATGTCACACGTAGACTCACTATTGGCCGACGCTGGTCATGTGTGTGATGCGTGACTTACAACCTAGAAGCTTTGCGTAGTTTCACTACGTGAAATATCACGGCCGAACAGAGAAGGAAATGATTAGTTGAATAAAGTCGTTATTTTTGTTTGTTTTTTGCGCACAAAAAGTATTTTAACGATGTCTTTTATAACTTTTGGGCCGGCCAGTTTCGATCCCTTAAGAAGCCTATGAAGGAGTGATCCAGCTCTCAGATTTCATCACAAATATCTTAATTTGTGTTCCGAAGATGAGCGAAAGTCTTACGGGGTTGGAACAACATGAGGGTGAGTAATTGCTGACAGAATTTTCATTTTTGGGTGAACTAACCCTTTAAACGTTTGCCTGATCTGCACAGATCAGTGTTGTTTTGTTGTCCATTGTGTTGTGACCATTTTGCCCTGTCTGTCAGGAAACGTAAAGAGAGGCATGAAGGAGGGGGAGCTCCAACCGGATTTTCACGTTTCCCGAATCCCGAAGGCGAATCAGATGAGGAGGAGGATTTTGAGAGAGAAAAGAGGAAGAGGAGTGAGTTCCCAATGAAACATTTCTTCATCTCAATATCTTTTATATGAAATTGATTGTATATTGACAATTGTGATTAGATTATCCATGTTTAAACAAGGGCCCTTGGTATAATCTTCTGTGTGGTTATAAGATGTCGTTTATATGGCATACAGGTATGGGTGGAGCTGCCATCGCTCCTCCGACATCACTAATGGATCGAGAATGTAAGTACATCCCATAGACCTTTTAAGAACTTTTATTTTCCTGTTTTGCCACATTTGAAATCAATATACACTGATGGGACGAAACATTATATACCGCAGGACACATTCACGGGTCTTGTAGAGTCCATGCATCAGCGGGTCGGCGATGTTTTGGCAGCGCTCAGAGTGCTAACAGCATGTTTTGGCTCATCTGTGTATGATTTTGTGTTTTCGCTTTGTCTCTGATAGGGTTCAGCTTTACACAGTCTTAAATCCAGCTGCGGGAAATGTGAGTAAGTAACAAAACTGTGTTTGTTGTCATGACAGCATCATATTCATATGACGAAGAAGGTCGCCAGAGGTCGAAAGCTGCTATCCCACCCCCTGTGTTTGATGACTTGGATAGACCACGGTCTCCCCCTGGACCAACTAATTCATTCCTGGCCAACATGGGGTAAGAGTCCTTCCATGCACTCAGAAACAAAGAATCCCTCCCTAGACTCATGAAGTCATTATGATTTATAAATGTTATTGTTGCACTGATTTGATGAACGCTTTGGTTCTAATTTTCAGCAGAGAATTTAGATTTCCAGAACATTTTGATCCACAACAACTTTTTTTATATATATATATTTTAAAAATAATAATTTAAGATTTAAGTAATTTTGGTTTCCCCAAAAAATCTTTTCAACAAAAGAATCTGAATGTTACTAGAAATAAGGAAATGTAAGAAATGGTTCATTTGAATTTAATCTAAATTATTTTAATTTTTAACAAGAACATTTGTATCATTAAATTTAGCTAAAGCATTTAGATTTAATCAGAACATTTAACCAAATAATATTTAATTTAAATGATTTAATTTTTTTTTTAGATTTAGATCTTAATTTAGATTTCCAAATAATTTATTTTAAACAATTTAGATTTAACAAGAAACGTTTTGATTTAACAAAATAATGAATAAATCTTGTAATATTTAATATAAATGAAGATTTAATCAATTAATTTAGATTTCCAAATAACGTATTTTAAAGAAATTAATTAAAATCTGTAATTTAAAGTCCAGTGTCTGTCTGTGTGTTTTTCAGTGGTACCGTGGCTCATAAAATCATGCAGAAGTATGGATTCCGTGAAGGACAGGGTCTGGGGAAACACGAGCAGGGCTTGAGCACGGCGCTGTCAGTGGAGAAAACCAGCAAGCGTGGGGGCAAGATTATTATTGGAGACTCAACAGAAAAGAGTGAGATCACACACACACACCCACACACAAACACCCAGCAACCATGTACAAGCTCACACGTCACATCAAGGATTCTTCTTTTTTTTAAAATGTTCCTTTTTATTGTTTCGAGTGTCATGTTTGTTTTCAATTAAATGTGTTGTCATTTGCGCAACCATGTACCCACTGTGTGAGTGTATCATTTGGTTCATTCACATTTGTTTGTGTTTGTTTCAGCATCTGCATCCAGTCAGAATTTGGCTGATCCACATGGCTCTAATTCAGGTTCGATTTTATTTGTATTTTTTTCCCATATCAATCATTGACTTACAACAGTTGTTTTTTTGCATCTGTATGTGTGAACATGCATCACATGAACACATCTGTGCTCTATTAGTCATTAGGAAACAGAATTTGTGCCTCTCATGCCTGTTATGTAAACAGTGGCAACAGTGACTTCCCTAACATGGGCAAACGGGTGTTATAGTAAAGTATAGTCAGATGTCCTTTCATAGAGTATCTTTTCAGGGTTTTTATGTATTTCTTTCTCTCTCTCTCTCTTTTTTTTCATTTGAACCGTCTTTTTAACCAAACAACCATTAAATTCATGTTTAATGCAAGATGTAAAATACAGTAAAAATAATCAAGGCTCGTTTCCCTTTTCATTGCATGAACACAAAGGAAGCATCATATTTAATCATTTTCATTTATATGCACCAGTATAACAATACATAGTCATAAACAGCAATATTTACATGCATATACAGTACCATTCAAAGGTTTGGGGTCAGTGAAAATTATTTTTTTGAAATAAATTATTACTTTTTCAGCAAGGATGCATTAAAATGTTCAAATGTGACTGTTTTCCGTTTCAAATAAATGCTGTACTTTTGAACTTTGTTCACCATGGAGTACTAGAAACTTCAAAATAAATTTTATAACAAATCTTTATATTGAGATGATAATAATAATAAGAATTGTTATTATGATAAAAATAATAATAATAAGACATTTTTATTGGGCAGCAAATCAGCATATTTTAATGAATTTTGAAGGATCATGTGAGACTGAAGACTGGAATAATGATGCTGAAAATGAATCTTTCCCATCAAAGGAATAAATTACATTTTCAAATATATTAAAATAGAAAAAAGTCACTTTAAATTGCAATAATGTTTTTCCAAATTGACTGTATTTTTTAATGAATAAATGCAGCCTTGGTGAGCATAACAGACTTCTTTCAAAAACATTTTTTACAAAAATAAAAAAGTTGTACTACCCCAAACCTTTAAAAAAGTAGAGTATATATTTAGTAATACTTTCTAATACATGAGAAATGCCACACAGAAAGTGAGTGACAATGGGCAACTCATTGTATCAGAGTTTTGAATTAATTGACATTCATTCAAAAAAAGCTGACTTTTCTTTTATATGAAGTTTTGATATAAATGTAAATTGAAATATGATATCTGTTTTATAGCGGATCCCTCAAAGAAAAACGATACCAACCCTCTTACAGAGATTCTCAAATGTCCAACAAAGGTGGTGTTGCTGCGGGTAAGCTGTGTCAATCAGTCTAAATTAATAAATGTGTGTTTTGGAAAGCTTATTGAGACTCAACGAATGGGAGACTAGAATGCATTGATTTCAATAGAGTTTGACATTAGCATGTTGCTAAGCTATTAATAAGAATAATATTGCATAAAATAATTTTAATACAATTATTTGTTTTTTATTGAGACACTTTATTTATTGAAGTAAAAGTATCTCTTATCATCTTTTAACATGTTTCACATCTTTGGATGAATTTTCTTTTTTGTGATGATACATGCAATTTCTCCTTACATTTCGGTCCAAATCTTGGAATATAGCAGCTGCGACATATGACACCGTTGCACTTCAGCTGACCAAAGTCAAGTCCCAGCAAAAAATGCCTCTAATAAATATATAAAATAAATAAAAATTGAGAAGTAATTGTTTTTCCCATTTATGTTGAATCACTATAATTATTTACTTCATTACCAGAACCCCCAATTAAGTTCTCACTTCAATAGAGTGGCAGTGCAATTTATTTTTTCATTTTCGGTGCAATTTTTGCTCCCAGTCCTAGTTAATTTCTGCCCTCTTCTGACTGTATATTGAATGAGATGCTATTTAGCCAAAAGCATTTGTTGTTTAATCCGCACATAAAAACTATGTGTGTAGAACATGGTTGGAAGGGGAGAGGTGGACGAAGACCTGGAAGGCGAGACTAAAGAAGAGTGTGAGAAATATGGCAAAGTCACCAAGTGCGTCATCTTTGAGGTGAGGGTTATGTCGAGCAAGTTTTCCTTCTCGTGTATGTAAGCTGCAGATGTCATCTCTCGCTGACATGAAACCTGTGTATCTGGCTTTTGTTTTCAGATCTCAGGTGTGACTGACGACGAGGCCGTCCGCATTTTCTTGGAGTTCGAACGGGTCGAATCGGCTATTAAAGGTGAGTGATTAAAGGACAAACTTGAAGTGTGTGTGTAGATGGTCTTTATTTCAAGTGCCCCAGATCTTGCTTAATAAAGCAGGTAAGTGTGTGAGGACCGTCCCTTAGGTGTTAGATCACCTGGCTGGTTACATCACTTCCTCAAGGGATTGCAGACCAAACCAGTTTTCACTCACTCACTTTCAAACACTGACCGAAATATTAACAAGCTGGAAATTAACTCATCCTTCAAAACATTAGTATCCTCAAAAAGGACAGTTTTAAATTAATAACTTTGTTTGTATATTCATATTATACCGGTATTAGTTTGTGATATATATGTGTGTGTGTGTGTATATATATATATATATATATATATATATATATATATGCAATGCATGCATATGCATATGCACGCATATGCACACACACACACACACACACACTCACACTCTCACTCACTACCGGTCAAAAGTTTGGAATCACTACTATTTTTTATGTTTTTGAATTATGTATCTTATGCTCATCAAGCCTACATTTATTTGATCAAAAATACAGGAAAAACTGTAATATTGTGAAATATTATTACAATTTAAATTATTTTTTATATATTTTAATATACTTAAAAATATAATTTATTTATATTTATGCAAAGCTGAATTTTCAGCATCATTACTCCAGTGTCACATGATCCTTCCAAAATCATTCTAATATGCTGATTTATTATCAATGTTGGAAACAGTTGTGCTGCTTAATATATATTTTTTATAACCTGTACCACCTTTTTCAGGATTCAGGAAAAAGAACCGCATTCGTTGAAAAATTAAATCTTTTGGAACAATATACACTATCTATCTATCTATCTATCTATCTATCTATCTATCTATCTATCTATCTATCTATCTATCTATCTATCTATCTATCTATCTATCTATCTATCTATCTATCTATCTATCTATCTATCTATCTATCTATCTATCTATCTATCTATCTACATGGCAATTGCACTTGTGAATTTGAATCTCAAGCATCTCAAACAGTTCATAGAGGACTGAAAATTATAATGACACACTTTGAATTCCTTTGGAATCAAAATAAAGTAAAACACACTTAAATAACAACAGAGATAACCCGCACCTTTTGGGAGAAAAATTCTTATTTACAAATACAGCAGCCCAATAAATATTTTAACAGTTTTTAGCTACACTTAAACGTTTCTGAATGCCACAGTGTTAGATAAAAAGGTCAAATATCAAATACTGGTCAACATCAGTATTCTTAATTAAGAATTAATTTCTTAATTTCTTAATTATGCAGCTAATTACACAATGTACTTCTCTAATTACTTTTTGGGGCTCGAAAAAATGTTTTCATGTTTTTGAAAGAAGCCTGTTATGCTCACCAAGCCTGCATTTATTTAATTAAAAATAACTAGTAATATTGTGCTACATGATCCTTCAGAAATCATTGTAATATGCTGATTTGGTGGGCAAGAAACATTTCTTAATAATGTTAAAAAATATTTTTGTGGAAACCGAGATACTTTTTTTAAGAGTATTAATAGAAATTTCAAAAGAACACCATTTGTTTGAAATAGAAATATTTTTTAACATTATAAATGTCTTCACTGACTAGCACAATCTGTCCTTGCTGAATAAAAGCATTGTAGGCCTACTAATACTTTAAATTAAATAAATGGCAGAACCAGTGTTTGTTAGGAATGACGAAGGAGTGTTTGGGGGAAACCTGCTTTAAACAATCATCATTTTTGCAATTATGCAGCTAAGATTATACACTTTAAGTCCTAAAATACTGTTTTTGGCTACTGCAAGTCAGCTATCGGAAAACAAAGCAAGCCTGAAAAAACACTCGGAGTCTGGCATCACATGCAGGAACACCTGTTTTACTTTCCAGGGTAGGGCTGAAGTTTGAACAATGCAACAAATATATAACCGTTGTTGGAAAGGCTCTTGTTTGTGGCGTTTGTTTAATCTTTTCTTTTTTTTTAAAGAGCTGTGGATTGCCCCTTGTTTTTTTGTTTTTTTTTTAAATAAGGGTATTTTTGATCATAGACCAGATCATTATATCAAGATACCACTATCTTTCGCGTTTTAAAAGGGCTTAATGTGATCTCATCGTCACTCTGATGATATCACTGGGGAAAAACCAAACATTTTTTAATAATAGATTTAGCAGGAAAGCATATGTTCTTATTCGTCTTCTGCTTTTTGTGGTTGGTTGTCTGGGTCAGCTTTAAGAACCGTATATATTTGGCACTATATAAATAAGAGTCTCAATATTCCAGGTTAGGGATGTCCCGATCCGATACTCAGGATCGGTATCGGCTCCGATACTGCCATTTTTGCGGGATCGGGTATCGATCTGACATCGATCAGACGAGGCCGATCCAAATCCGATATTGTGGGTATACTATTATGTGTTATTGTTAAGCCCCACAAAATGCACAAAAACATTCTAAAGTACCATAACGTTTTCGTGCACTCTATTATAAGTGTTCTGAAGCTATTATGTGAGATATAAATTAATATTTAAGTAATTAAATTCAAGATCACGTAAATTTTTCCCTCTCGCGGCTGTCAGTCATTCTCCATTCAGCATTCAAACAGCGCGTCGCGTTCGGTTGCAGTCAATGATGAAACTATCTTCAAGATGATTCAATGTTAATACTATTATACTTGATCTGTAAGATAAAGGTCTATGTTTTCGCATAAAACAACTTTATCTTGCTGGACTTTATTGCTGTAACTCAATCGTGTTACTCTCTACCGGGTGTCGGACGCTGTCAGTTTGATCACAACACTAGAGTCAGAGCACTATAATTGTTCTTCACGCGCACAGTAACTGAAATTTAAAACTGTTAAAAGAAAAGGCTCAATAAACGATTGCATAGATAGATACTGTATAATACACTGTCCATCAAAATGTATCTCCGTTGTGCTTTGAACTTTTCAAAGCGGACTCGACGCGCTGCGTGCTGGAACTCCACGTGGCTTCAAGCGCATCATTCTCCGCTCGGGATGCGCATAAGCAGAGGCGGCGCCAGGGGGGGTCTTGGGGGGTCTCAAGACCCTCCCAAAAAATGCTTTGACCCCCCATTTGACCCCCCACCCCCTTCCTGATTAAAAAAATATATATCCGGGATAAATATTAAAAAATGTTTATCTTCAAACTACGCAGAACAATATTAATTAATAATTTATTCGACATACAAAATATATAAACATAAGAATCACGTTCCCTCTAAGCTGCGCGCGTGCGCGGTCGTGCACTTCTGATGCCGCGGCCGCGCAGAAAAGAATAATATGCCACGCAGAGGACTGACGCGAAATGTGTGGGGAAATCCAGTTGATTGTATGTGAGAAATAATTGCAGTGCTCAAACTGGTGAGTGCAGTTAACAGGTTTCAAAGAAAGAGAATGATGTGAGCGCGTGTGATTGGCAGTGAGTCGTGTGTGCGGACCAAATATCTCAATACGAGAGGCGACGAGAAACGCAAAGAAATGTGAAATAAAATCACAATATCATGTTTTAAAGAAGAGTGGTTTGATTAAAGTGGTGGAAATAACGGATGATGGACACAGAACGGTAACAATTACACCCACCCACCCGCGTGCAAACTCAAAATACATCATTAGTTTACATAGATTTAAATAGTTTCAGGCATGGTTAGATGAGGCTACTATAAAAGAGTTCACATATTGACTTTTCTTGAAAATATTTAGCTATTAGATCTAGCTATTTACAGTAAATGCTTCAGTTTGTTTTCATATTATAATAATATAATATGAAAACAAATTGAAGCATTTAAACTATCACTTCAAATACTTCAATTCATTTTTTTATATTATATTATATTGGGCATATATTTTATTATATTATAAGCCTAAATAAAGAATCTCACAAGGGTATTGTTTAGGGCTCATTGCCATTAAAAAGTTTGAAACCCCCTGCTAAAAAAAATTTAGGCTAGGAAATTCATAAGCTATAAACAATCATTTAACTTTGATGGTTTAATGCTGCCTGTACAATTAATTGACTGTACAAAAACACTTTATGGTTTTCCTAAACCATCTCAGTGTAACAGCTTAATTTTCTTTTATAATATATTATATTATTGTAAAGAATTGAACTGTCCTGCAGAAGATTTTGTAAATAATTTTTCATAGGATTTCTTAGTATAGACTGGAAACAGAGGACACCGAGGAATTGGAGGATGAGGAGGATACTATTTTGTAAATATGTTTTCTGTCATGGGTGTGGTTATGGCAATTAAAGTTCGAGCATATTGTTTGCAAACTGCAATTGATTAATTAATTAAAAACAAAAAACCGTCGGTGTGTGAATGGGTGAATGTGAGGCAATATGTAAAGCGCTTTGGTGGCCATTGGGTCTGTGAAAGCGCTATATAAATGCAGTCCATTTACCATTTACCATTTGTTAAGTAGCAGCAATATGCAGTTATTAGCCGTGTCCACTGTATTTTTTGTTGGTTTTCATGAGACCCCCCTTGAAATGACCAGGACCCCCCATTGCCCCCCCAATCAAAATTGTCTGGAGCCGCCACTGCGCATAAGCGCTTTGTGCCGCACTGTATTGGAGCCTTTCATATCATAATGCATTGACGCAATTAAAGCTTATTAACATTAATAATTATTAATGTTGCTGCCTCATTAAATAGCTGTGCAATACACTTAAAACATGTCTCAATTTTATAGCAGATTTAGCTATATCTAAAATAATTATCTTTTTCATTTTTGTTATCTTGTTTTTCATGAATGTATTTTACAACAATAAAAAGAGCAATGTGTATTATCCACTAATCTAGTTTATAATAGCATTTTTGTCATAGATTATGATCATATATTTTGGGGATTTGTTGTTTATCTTTATAATGAAGCTGTCTGTATTAAGTAGATTGTGTTTAACACACACAAGAGTGATAATCAGTTTAACACACAGTTATAGAAATTCTAATTGATTTAAAAAACAAAAACTGTACTGGTATTTACAATGTAGAATGCTGCTGTTTAAATTGTTTTAACTTTAAACCTGTTGGTAGCTAGCTAGCTTTAAGTACTGAAGTACCTGTATTTTCTTTCATTTATATATTTCTTTATTTTTTTGTAGTGTTTGAATAAAGGGTGGCAATCTTTCATAATCAACTGTTGTTGTGGACTATATAGGAGGTATATTTTAGGTGGCTAATTGAGAAAATTGCTATATTTTTTATTAGTTTAAGAATAAAATAAAAATATCGGATTAATATCGGTATCGGCAAAAGCCAAAGCTGCGGCATCGGTATCGGTATCGGAAGTGAAAAAGTGGTATCGGGACATCCCTATTCCAGGTGCTTATTATCAATGTTGAAATCAGTTGAGCTGCTTAATATTTTTTGTGAAAAGTTTTTTCAGGAAAAAAAGATTAAGTTCAAAAGAACAGCATTTATTTGAAAGAATCTTTTGTAACATTAGAAATGTATTTACTGTTCCTTTCGATCAGTTTAATGCATCCTTGCTGAATAAAAGTATTAATTTCTTAAACTTTCTGACCCCAAGCTTTTTGAATGGTTATATTCTTTTTGTTTTTGCTACTACTACAAATCAAAATTTTGACAGATCATCACATTAAATGAGCAATTGGCATTTTCATTTTCAAACGTTTGCCTGTAACACAACAACAAATTAACTGCAAAGAGACCGAACAGGAAGTGAAAAAACATCCTGGCAATACTTTGTTAAATTGAAACAAAGCTCAGTATCTTATAACGAGACGATGGCCTTAGAGTCTGTGTAACATTTTAGGACACAGTGCCATCAGCTGGTCAGAAGTTATAAACAATGGTAAATCTATCCATAGCCTTTGAATTTCTTGTCCTAAAGTCACAGATGTTATAACCAAACAATTCTATTGTGCAATTTGTGCTCATGGCCTCATAATTGCAGCTTTATTAGAAATTGTATTATATATTAGAATAAATATAACATTTTTCTTCATATTTTATATAAAATCTTATAAATTAAATAATTTAGATTAAATAGCATTTAATATAATCGTTAATTTGTGTCCTGGTGCAGTTCAATAGTATATTTACAGTTTAACTACATATACATGTTTTGGTCTTTTTGAATGTCGACATGTTGTTTGTTTTCCCTCCTCAGCTGTGGTGGATCTGAATGGGCGGTACTTTGGAGGTCGGGTGGTGAAGGCCTGTTTTTATAACTTGGATAAGTTCCGTGTTTTAGACCTGGGGGATCAGATGTGAGTGGGAGATCCAGACCTACACAACCAGGAAAGAGTAAACACCAGGAAGAAATCGTTTCTGTATATAGCACGAGTAATTTTATACACCCTTGTAAAACATTAGCTTATGTGCCCCTTCCCGCAATGCGTTTTGTAATGAGGATTTAATTTGCTCTTTTTTTTTTTTTATTCCTTCTTGTCTCTTTCCCTCTCTAACGTCACAGTTAAAAATATCCTTTTGTCCTGTCCTTGTGAATAAGATGTGATGAAGAACCCAGAATTAAAAAAGCTTTTGGGAGAATAACTTTGAGGGTTGGTTCTGTTTAAAAAGGTAAAATGTGTCTCTTTAAATGTTCAACTTTTTCATATCTCTGCACTTTTAGACTTTCATTGTGGTGCTTTCAAAGCAATGGTGTGGGTTTTACGCGAATACTCCAGTAGTTACTACATGGTTTTACAGAAAAGAACAATTGCATACTGATGTTGAATGGGGTGATGATGATGATGGTTATAATGAATGAGTCCTGGTTCATGATTTATATAACCAGACACCTTGTCCCTGTGCGACTCTAGAAAGTAGGAAACCTACATTCCTCTGTTGTGACATAACGGTGACTCCCATGAGCCCTCACTCTATGATCCACACACTATTGATAGACTAAAAGTATTAAGCTTTTTCTTAATGCGTGTCTTGACCCTAATGGAAATAGGGTTTTGTGTGTTGCTCAATGAACAGTGACTTCAGTACATGCCAAGTTTTTTAAAAACATTTCTGTAGGATGTTTCAAATGCCTATAAATGCATCACATAAATAATATTCGTGTGTATTATCAGATGTATTTTCATGCAGAATGTGTGCGGATGTGTGTTAGACTGGGTCAGTGATGGTGTGATGTTCTGGTTTGGTGAGAAGGACGCACTTACGCAATACGAAGGTGCTGGGGAATAAAGTAAAGAATAGACTGAACTCCATGAGGATTGACTCAAACAGAACAGATCCTCATCAAATGACTCTTATATGAGCAGAGAGTCTGAAACATGTCAGAACAGGGTTGAGCTGTTCAGGTCACAAGTTCAGCACTGGGGATTGAGCCGGTACGCGGTGTAAAAGTGCTAAGGTATTACGGACCATTGTAGATGGGTTATGGCTTTGTTTGGATTAGTACTTTTTGAAATTTACAATTGTTCATACTTATGGTTAGGGGTTTGAAAATCAAACCCCAGATCCTATTCATATTTGTGTTGCGGTCATGTATGAAACAGTAGTTCAAATCGTGCTGCTTGTTGAAGTAAGGCATACTTTTCTGGTGCATACATTTTTTTTTTTTTTGCAAAAATCCAGCCGGATCACACAGTAACGTATCTATTTTACAAGTGTGCAATTGTGTACGGATTTGCTCCAGCCCTAAACCCACCCCTCATTGTGGCGAGAGCTGATGATAAAAAAAAAGTATGAATTAATTCATATGAATCTGCATCAATTCAACATATTTACACGTTCCCGTTTAACTGTGTTGGAAAAGCCATAGACTTTCAGTGTAGGAGTTATCTAAATGTGGTTCTCAGCCAGGGGGTCTGGGCCCACTAGGAGGCCTCAGTAAACTTTTAAGAATATATGAATACATGAAACCTGGATATATGAGGTAGCCCAATTCTAAAAGTGTGATTTCTAGACCTGGAAAAGTCATATAAATTAATAAAATGGTTAAAGCTAATATGCACTTTTCTAGTTAAGCTAAGCTCTAAAATATTTTATTGGGTAGAAAAACTTTTATATTTTTCCTTAACCCGTATTCACTAAATCATGAACAACTGGAAAAGTCATGGGGGCTTTGAATGAAGGCATGTAATATGTGGTTTCATAAGGACAAAGGCTTCTGGCTTTATTACTGCCAGTTCCAACCAATGAGATGGTCGCCACACACCTTAATTCATCCTAGCATGTGTGGGGAAATAATGGTAGAGGTGGATATTTACAGTTTTTTACAGTTTTGGTGGTTTGCAGCTTAATGACATACTATTTTAGGTTTGCCCAATTTTCATTTTTCTTTTTTTTTTTACCTGGCAAAATGCTTAAATTAAGGGCACTGTTCACCATCATGTTGTTCCTAACTTGTTTGCATTTCTTTTTTCTGTGGAAAACACAAGAACATTTTATGAAAAATGTTTTTTGTGTGTTTTTCTTTTCCTTTTGTTTTGACGTCTCAGTGTTTTGTGTCTCATATCTAAGTGTTTTGTTTGTCTCAGTGTTGTTTTTGTTTGTTTCATGTATCAGTGGTTTTTTTTGTTTTGTCTGTTTTGTTTGTCTCAGTGTTGTGGTTTTTGTTCGTCTCATGTCTCAGTTTTTTGTTTTGTTTATCTCATGTTTTGTGTTTTATTTTGTTTGTCTCATGTCTCAGTGTTTTGTTTTGTTTGCTACTATATAATATGCGAAAACAGTACGCCAACAGAGTAGTATGTCCGAATAAATAGTATTCGAAAAACAGTAGACGAAAAGTCCCCGGATGACCTACTACTTCCGGCGAGATTCTGAAGTGCTCATTCGATGGACACGTCCGGATTACATACTACCCACGGTCATATTATATAGAACATACTTTTTTTAACGGTCGCGAAGTACAAATTCAAATGTAGTACTCAGTAAGCGATTTCAGACGCGCCGTCAGTGTTTTGTTTTTTGTTTGTCTCATGTTTCAGTATTTTGTTCTTTTGTGTGTCTCGTCTCAGTGTTTTGTGTCATGTCAGTGTTTTGTGTCATGTCTGTGTTTTGTCTCAGTGTTTTGTGTCATGTCAGTGTTTTGTGTCATGTCTGTGTTTTGTCTCAGTGTTTTGTGTCATGTCAGTGTTTTGTCTCAGTGTTTTGTGTCATGTCTGTGTTTTGTCTCAGTGTTTTGTGTCATGTCAGTGTTTTGTGTCATGTCTGTGTTTTGTCTCAGTGTTTTGTGTCATGTCTGTGTTTTGTCTCAGTGTTTTGATTTATCTGTCTCTGTGTTTTGTCTGTCTCTGTGTTTTGTTTTGTTTTGTTCGTCTCATGCCTCAGTTTTGTTTTGTTTTTCTGATGTCTGTGTTTTTTGGTTTGTTTGTCTCGTGTCTCAGTATTTTTGTTTGTCTCACGTCTCAGTGCTTTGTGTTTTGTCTCGTCTGTTTTTTTTGTCTCATGTCTCAGTGTTTTGTTCTTTTGTGTGTCTCATGTCAGTGTTTTGTGTCATGTCTGTGTTTTGTCTCAGTGTTTTGATTTATCTGTCTCTGTGTTTTGTCTGTCTCAGTGTTTTGTTTTGTTTGTCTCATGCCTCAGTTTTGTTTTTCTGATGTCTGTCTCTGTGTTTTGTTTTGTTTTGTTCGTCTCATGCCTCAGTTTTGTTTTGTTTTTCTGATGTCTGTGTTTTTTGGTTTGTTTGTCTCGTGTCTCAGTATTTTTGTTTGTCTCACGTCTCAGTGCTTTGTGTTTTGTCTCGTCTGTTTTTTTTTGTCTCATGTCTCAGTGTTTTGTTCTTTTGTGTGTCTCATGTCAGTGTTTTGTGTCATGTCTGTGTTTTGTCTCAGTGTTTTGATTTATCTGTCTCTGTGTTTTGTCTGTCTCAGTGTTTTGTTTTGTTTGTCTCATGCCTCAGTTTTGTTTTTCTGATGTCTGTGTTTTGTGTTTTGTTTGTCTCGTGTCTGTGTTTTGTTTGTCTCATGTCTCAGTGTTTTGTTTTATTTATCTGTCTCAGTGTTTTGTTTGTCTCATGCCTCATTTTTGTTTTTCTGATGTCTGTGTTTCTTGGTTTGTTTATCTCATGTCTCTGATTCTCATGTGTTTTGTTTTGTTTGTCTCGTGTCTCAGTATTTTTGTTTGTCTCACGTCTCAGTGCTTTGTGTTTTGTCTCGTCTGTTTTTTTTTTGTCTCATGTCTTGGTGTTTTGTTTCTCATGTCTGTTTTGGTTTTTTTTACCCAATTCTCTTTCATTGTATGGACAAAAACAGTTTATCTTTTGTGTTCCACAGAAGAAATAGTCATATAGTTTGGAACCAGATATGGTGAGTAAATAGTGACAAAATTTACGTTTTTGGGTGAAGTATCCCTTAAATGAAGTCTCAAGTCATAGCCTTTATTTCACACTTTGATCTCCTGTTCATTGCATATGCTTAACTACGCTATAGGGAGGTTGATTACTTGCTGTTTGTTTTTGATTGGCAGACACTGCTTGTACGTGTTGTGTGAGATTAGAGGTGTTGGGTTACTAGTTCCGTTTACAGTAAACAGCACATCAGGGCACCAGTCTCAACCCTGTTTACTGGGAAGTGATTCCCTACACATTAACTTGCGAAATTAATTTATAATGCATGACTCTATTTTAATCACTGTACAGTAACGTCTGGGGAGTTCCATAAAAACACACCTGAACACTACATTCATTAATATGCACAACCATATAAGTTAATTTCCATGTACACTTCCGATAAAAAATTATAATCTCAAAGGCTCTCCAAGAGAATAATTTTTTTCCCTTTAATAAAAGGTTAATTCGTTGCACTATAACATTAAAATGTGTGTGTGTAAATGTGTACACTTTACTGTGTGTGTGTTTCATGTTCTCTCTGCTGGTCTATTCCTGGTTTTGACATCTTATCCTTGCGAAGAGTGAATCCGCTTGCGGGACAACATCAGTATCACTGCGTCACACTTGCTTTTCTCACCCTGCTATTTTATTTTCGCTATAAGCGAGTCGGAAAACACTTCACACTGTGAACCCCAAGACACCTGTGTACTGTTTAGTGTTTACTTGAGACTTAAATTTCTTGTTGTAGGCCTACATGCCTGCTTCATGCATCTAAACAAATATGATTCTGTAATTACAACCTCTTTATAAGTCTAAATTTCAAAATCTCACATGAAACATGTTCTATGATGTGTTATTTTGTGTATAAGTTAAATGACAGCTCTAGCAGTGAATGAAAAGCCATTACCGCTATGAGAGTTAACCCAAATTCCAGTAGTATAATCTCCTGCGTGGAGCTGTCTGAGAGTGTCCTCATTAATGAGAAAGAAATGAGGTTTTTTTTAGAAACAGTTTTGAGGATTGGTTTTTGTGTCTCTGGACAAAAATTATCTAGTGATGTACTATGTTGAATATTTTTGTGTTTATTTGTTAATGAGGGATTTGTGGACACATTCATGTTTTTAGATTTGTGGAAGTTACAGTTTTTATTCTGAAGAAAAAAGATAAAATTAGACCCTTGGGGTAAGATGACCCCCTCAGAATTGGCACAGAAAGCCTGTTGTTATAGTGTTATTATTTTTAAATGTAATACTTATTTTAATTAACGGGGTTATTATTTAATATTTCCATGAATTAGATGTACATTTCAGACATCTTTGCTTTCACAAAAAAAACCTATAGTCGAGTGAAATCGTTTAATTTGCATTCATAGTGTTGGTATTATGAGTATCTTCAATTAAAATATGGGCAATTAAATGTGTAGATATTCATATATAAGTCTCAGAATAATTTTACCTTTCAGATTAATCTATTATACTGCACTGTAAAAAGTGATCAGTTGACATCGGTTATTCAATTATTCAACTAAATTATCAAAATTCAATTTTAAATAGAATTTAGTTAGTAGGCTATTTTACATTTGACACTTTAAAAATGTATTTTTAAAAAATAATAAGAATATCAAAAGTCATTACATTCTGTAAAAGTTTAGCTAATTGAGAAAATGTTTCTTATAATAACATATTGGCTGATGCATCATCATTCTGCACATGCTAAACTTGTTACGAATTAAAAGTAAATGCATTGTTCTTTGTTTGTTACCCTATTCATATATCCTAGAAATGCGGAAGTTTAATGTACCCTAAATCTTTTTTTTCTGCTTGTCTTAGCAAACACGAAAGAAAAAAAAAAAAACTATACACATTTTAGAAGGATATTCATTTCAGAGTGCCCGCAAATATCAAGCAGCTAAAAACATCTTTGAGAGCTCAGCCAGACAGCTATCTGGAACTGGGTCAGCACAGCAGCCAAATGGAAACAGGCTCACTGTGCAGTAAGTTACAAAGGCTTAAGAGTGGGAATTGGGAAATCACAAGAAAGTGACATTAAGCTTGAGGAAAAGCCAACCTGTTCTCACATAACTTGCAATTAACTTTCTTTCTTTTGGTATCGCATTTCTCTAAGAGAATGGATTAGATAGAAGAATTGTTTTCCGATACTAAAACGTTAAACATTGGTCACGTGAAAAACTGTGAGAATTAGACTCGAAAAAAGTCATTTTTTGTCATGTTTTCCTACTTAACGCAGTAATATTTGCTTAAGGAGAGTAGTGAGGCTGGCACAGTGATGTCACTCCTGCAGTTTTCATCCTGTACGTGCAGATGTGCGAGTCACCAACAGCTCGGCATTTTAGTGAAGATCTCAGACCCAACAAAGGCTTTATTTTTTTAACATCAGAGGATTAAATGCATCGCAGTCCTTTTTCTCGATACGTGCATATAGCCTATGATTCCCTTCCCTCTCACGAGCGTTGCAACAGCCTATTAAAAGGAAAAAACAACAACAAAGCAACCTTCAAATAATGTAGACTAATGAAACGAAACGATGTTCAGCAACGTCACATTTTATTTAATGCACCAATGATGGGGAACTTTCATTAGGCTTTAGAAGTTTTATTTCGAAAGTTTTAATTAAATTTTTTAGGCTGTTTTTTAAAAATACATTTTGGGAATAAAACAGCGTAGGCTACTGCAAACATTGATTTCTCTCAAATCACGGTTGCTGTAAATGTCCTACAAGTCAATAAACGTAGAAATGACACGTTCATTAGCTAAATAAAATTCGATTTGACTTCTTTTTAATTCATAAGTTAAAACTAACAACCTTTTTACAGATACGGAAATACAATATAATTTTACAATTAACAATTACAACTGACCGTTACAATAGGCCTAGTTTTAATAAGGGAAATTTTCAAAAAAAAAAATCAACAAGCAGCCAATGATTTACAGCTTGAAGGTGCTTGCTGTTATTTCAGGGGTTTATGGATGAAGATTGATGGATTGATGCAGTGACTCCCCGCACGTAGGCATGTGTGGGGATGCCCACTCGATGCGTGACCTGCATCTTTAATGCTTTTGAGCACATGCCTTTCTTTCCCTTTTACTATTATCCGAGGCTATCATTAGCATCCAGAAAACAATAATGTAATATCAAAATAATAATTTTCGTATTATTAAAACGCATGGATGAACACGAACAGCATAGTTGTGTGTATATTTATTTTAACCAATGTTTTGCATTTGGCCGCCGGGTGGCGCACGTGAACGCGCTTCACTGATAGACGCGCCTCCGCAGTGACGTCACCCTCGCGTGTTGCCGGTTCCGTATTTAAAGCGCAGAAGATGAGAGACGTGATGTGAGATTACCGGAAAGCGGAGAGAAGTGGTGTTCTACATTAGCCTATAACCGATGCAAATAATCAAACAGCTTTTAAAGAAGAAGAGTTACAAAAGAAGAGCATCTTAATTCTTACGTTTTTGTTTATTTTCTCTCAACTAAACAACATTCTGTTTTGGAATTCCCGAAGCCGGTGTTTCCTGCCGCAGTTTTCTTGCTGATATTTTTCCATCCTAAAGGAATGCCAAGGGAACTGACTCAAAACAGGATCCAAAAAATCTGGATTCCCTCTAAGGATGACAAACCTTCAATGCCCCGCATACGTAAGTAGATTATTTTCACTTTTTCTTTCATATTAAAGAATGGTGAGCAGCACAAAACTGCTGTCCAGTATGCCATAATGTTTCTGCAGATAGGGCATACATACTACTATTAGTAGTAGTAGTAGTGGTATAAGACCTAATATTATTATTTTCAACGGTAAAGCGCTGTTTACATGTAATAAAGTGAAATATTTGGTTAATATAAATGAACATGTGACTTACTAACTGTCGCGAGCACTTTCATTTCGTGTGCATTGAAACAGTGACAGTGATGGTCTTCGGGTAGCCATGACAACAGAATTAACTGGTTCTACACATTCTTAATTCTCGATTCTAAGAGCCTCGCGTGATTTGGTTGTCATGGAAACCCTCAAGCTTCGCCTTTGTAAAGACTTTCTTACTCAATGGTACACTGATGACGACATCGTGCACTGAATCAAGCTCTGAGTGGGGATTCGACAGGAATGTGGGAATTTTGCGTTTTTCATTCATTGTGGGCTATGATTAGTCGAATATATTTACCTGCGATTGGCGTGAGCATGATGACTGTAGCAGATGCTTATGAATTAGTCATTACACGTGCATTTTAATATCTGCTGCGTCAATGATGTCACTGTGGCCTTAGGCATCATTTACTGCAATATTTAAAAGCCCTATACACAAGAAGAACTCACGTTTTGTGTGTGGATGTGTGAAAGTGAACAATTACAAGAAGTATAATAATAATTTGAGCTCTATTTCGTCTAAATAATAATATAGTATAGCATTTCATTTAATTAGCATTTTCATTTCATTATTCAAAATAATCTGATTTTAATCATTTATTTAATGATATATTGTACAAGTATTTATTTGGCATGGTAGTATTTTTGTAATACCTTGAATTTATGCAGATTTTAATGAAAAAACATAGGATCCAGAACAGTGTTTTTTAATATCTGTTTTACAATATATTGCAGAATATAATGAGAACATAACGAATAATGAGAATTATAAACACACACACACTCACATGTTTACTAAATGGATTATCTAAATAGTATCCCCTTACATTAACCCGACCCCCAAACCTACCCATCACAAAAAACGTTCTGCATTTTTACATTTTTAAAAAAAAACTTACTTTAATTTTATACCAGACGGCCCTAAAGGGAGGTTTTTGGAGATTTGTTAGGTTTTGGTCACTTCTGGGTACAAATTTGTCCCCAAAATATAATTAAGCACACACACACACACACACACACACACATTAAATTTGGGGTTAAACATCCTTAAATGTCAAATAACATTAACACATGTCTAAAATGTTAGTAGCTCTAAAAATAGGCTTCAAAAAATATACTAATATAATTTAATACAATTTTCTTTTAATTTTGGGGTGAATCATGACCTACACATGAGCAGTTTCTGTCTGCTCAGTGTACGTGGACAAAAGCCTAATAAGATCATTGTCTCTGCTGACTGAGCTGAGTTTGAGGATCTTCTGAAGGATTAACCCCGACTCCTCTGGTTCACACTGCCCATTCACGTGGCCACCTGCCAATGGACATCAATAATCCAATGAGGAAAAACAGCTGTGTCCTTTCTCACTCCATGTTAGGGATCACTCTAACCCATAAATGATATGATGAAGTAGAAACACAATCAAAATATACGAAATTGCTTGAATCCTAGCCTAATGCACAACTGCGTAAATACATAAGTTTAATGGAAATTAATTTGCCACAAAACATAAGACATACTCACAAACATTTACTTTCTAGAGGATTTATATGTCTGTGTGTGTACGAGAAAGTGAGACTTATCTTGGTCTGACCCGGTTAACGTCTTTCTGCTGGCGGCGTGGAATGTGCACGTGCATTTAAGTGTAGTAAATGTTTAGTTTTTAAAATGCTTCTGTGCGCACATGGCCCGTGCTGTTTGATTGGCTGGCGAGGAGGGTCGCTAACAGGTTCCCAGGCACGTGATGAGAAATCAAGCGGGCACACACTGGAGTGACATTGAAAAAGCGTCCATACCCTTTAAAACCCTTAGGCTAATTGCATTTCTGTTGTTTCAGGAAAGTGTGACCATGTATTTCACTTCATCTTTGCGTTTCAGCACATGGAGGCCCCCACCTGGCAAACCCTCCAACGGTGATAGTGATGGTCGGGCTTCCTGCACGGGGCAAAACCTACATCTCAAGGAAACTCACACGCTACCTCAACTGGATTGGTATTCCCACAAAAGGTACAAAAATACCCAAAAATATATCACAAAAAGCAGCAGTGGAAATAAATATAAACTTTTATCACTCTAATTAATATTAAATTAATATATTTATATATTTGCTTTATTTATTTCACCTATACACAATAGTAACATTTTGCATGAATTCTTAATGGTTGAATATGTGTATTTGTAGTCTTTAACGTTGGCGAGTATCGTCGAGAAGCGGTGAAACACTTCAGCTCCTACGACTTCTTCAAATCAGACAATGAGGATGCTGTAAAAATTCGACAGTGAGTTGTGTGCTAAAGCTACACAATGCCATACTACACACAATTCTTCTTCAAATCATTTATGGATGGAGGAATTTTTATGGATATATATTGAGTAATATTAATTGAGTAATCCATATATAAATGGATTTCTACAGTAATTTCATTTCGTTTTGTCCCCAGGCAGTGTGCTTTGGCCGCTCTGAGAGATGTCAAGATTTATCTCACTGAAGAGGAAGGTCAAGTGGCTGTAAGTATCTGCCGCAAATGCATAAACAGTTTAGACACGCTAAAAGACGAGTAGATCATCACCACCATATCTTTCCACAGGTTTTTGATGCTACAAACACAACCAGAGAGCGGCGGGATATAATCCTGGAGTTTGGTGCCAAAAATGGCTTCAAGGTCAGTCGTATTCTCTGGAAGATTGCTTTTGAGGACAATTACAGTGATGAAGAAGACCACTAATACAAATGTACTTTGCAGATTTTCTTCATTGAGTCTGTTTGTGAGGACCCAAATGTAATCGCCTGTAATATTTTGGTAAGTCGTATGATAAAGATAGTTTAGTCTTATATGTATTTCGTCAGATAACTAGTAATAATCAAAGCCTTTTTGTATATAAAGTTTGCAAAACCTCTGAACATTACAATAATCCCTAAACAGGAAGTGAAGGTGTCATGTCCTGACTACCAAGATTGCAACAAGACGGATGCCGTGGAGGACTTTAAGAAAAGAATTGAATGTTACAGAGTGAACTATCAACCGCTTGACCCTGACCAATATGACAGGTACACTACCTTTATACTTTCTTTGGCGCTGACTTTGTGTCTTTAATATCACAGGCTTAACCACTTTTCCTTGATTATCCTCAGGAATTTGTCTTTCATCAAAGTGATAGACGTCGGTCGCAGATTCCTGGTCAACCGTATTCAAGACCACATCCAGAGTCGGATCGTCTACTACCTGATGAACATCCACGTGCAGCCGCGGTCTATTTATTTGTGCCGTCACGGTGAGAGCCAACACAACTTGCAGGGCCGACTGGGCGGAGACTCTGGGCTGTCTACACGTGGACGAAAGGTACTATGCTCTTAAATCTCGGAAAAGAATGCAGTACGAAGGTACGACTTGGGTAATTACTTTTAAATAGCCCTTGCCTCGTTATGAAATGACACATAACTTCACAAGCCTTCATAAACAGTCATGTTCTGCCATGAAGCTCAGTTTGGTGCCAAGGATGGTATTTGTAAAGTTTAAAAACAGTGTGTTCTTGTACAGAGTGCTAAATTACCCATGTGTCCAATTTGTCCAAACTCCCCGGAATAATAAATCGTCCCACTCTGTAGTTTGCAGGAGCTCTTGCTAACTTTGTGGAGGAGCAGAACTTGAAGGACTTGAAGGTTTGGACGAGCCATCTGCGTCGTAGTATCCAAACCGCCGAGGCCCTCAATGTGCCGTACGAGCAATGGAAAGGCCTGAATGAGATTGATGCAGTAAGTTCTCCAGCATGCATCTCTGGTTTGGTTTTTGGGCTACGCTACTCGATTTCCATTCCCGTTAAACGTGTGTATGGTGTCTGCAGGGTATGTGTGAGGAGATGACCTATGAAGAAGTAAGGGAGAGATTTCCAGAAGAGTTTGCTCTGAGAGATCAGGACAAATACTACTACCGCTACCCTTCCGGAGAGGTACAAACAGATGAAACACCTTCATTTGAATATGACAAAGTAGAAGAAAGTGTCCTTTAATGAAATGCTTGTGTTTCCCCAGTCATATCAGGACTTGGTTCAGCGGGTTGAACCATTGATCATGGAACTGGAACGACAGGAGAACGTTCTTGTCATCTGTCACCAGGCTGTGATGCGCTGCCTACTCGCCTACTTCCTGGATAAAAGTGCAGGTGAGATTCTTTAATCGATAGATCATGCAGAAATACTAACGCTCAAGTCATTCCAAACTCATATGACTTTCTTTCTTCAATGGAACACAATAGGAGAAGTTCAGCATATTGTCCCACGTACTCTTTTTCACACTAATGGAAGTGGAAGTTGAAGAGAATGGGAGTGCTGTTGAGCTTCGAAAGTAGTCCAAATGACTTCTGAAACCATTTGTAGGTTCACTGCAAAAATATACTTTAATGTCATCTCTATTGAAACGTGTGTGTCATGTACATTTGCAATGACGTTGCAATTTAGAACATTTAAAAAATATTAACTTTAAATGTAAAAGTGTGCTCTCTTTAAGTATACTTGTTAGCTTTTATTTCATAAATATTTTCTTTCTTTTTTTTTTTTTTATGTATTTTTAAGATTTGAAGTACACTACAAGTGCACATTCAGTACAATTAAGCACACTTGTTTTTCCACAGTGGTCAGGTTTGATTTTTTTCCTGAAAAACAACTTAAATTTTTTTTAAGCTATTATATGACTTTAGGGGCCAGTTGCATAAACATAGCTTCTATGTTAAGACCATGTCCTAAGAACTAGTCTTACCAATTAGCAGTTAGCCAAGGGGTAATTAGACTTATTTTTTCAGATTCAAATTAGGGGGATCTACATTTTTATGTAGCTGTTATGACCAGGCTTAAATAAAAAAAAAGTCAGATATAAGATTAGTCTAAGCATTTTATTCAACCAGCCTAGAAGTCATACGGACTACTTGAATTATGTTGTTTTGGTTGTTTTTTTTAGTGCGACAGCACCAATAACTTTCCTAGTATGGAAAAGAGCAGCATGAACATTCATCAAAATGTCTCTATTTGTGTTTCATGAAAGAAAAAGTCAGATTTGGTGAACTATCCCTTTAAATTCACCCCGTCATCTTCATCAGCTGACACTTTTCCGTCCTCAGTAGAAGTGCAGGTAACACTAGTTTAGGGTCCAATTCTCACTATTAACTAGTTGCTTATTAGCATGCATATTACTATTCATATTGTCTGTGTTTATTAGTACTTATAAAGCATATATTATTCTGCATAACTAAATTCTACATCCCTTAATCCTACACAATACCTAAACTTAACAACCACCTTACTAACTATTAATAAGCAGTAATTAGGAGTTTGAGCCCAAGTTGTAGTTGATAGTGAGAATTGGACTCTATTCTAAAGTGTGAGCAAAGTGCAATCATACTAACCTTTAATTTCATGTTGGCAGATGAGATGCCATACCTGAAGTGTCCACTCCACACAATCCTGAAGCTGACCCCAGTGGCTTATGGTACGATTTTTTAACTTATTATCTCTGACATATCTAATCTGAATAATATTGAAAAGTATAACGCTAACTAATTGTGTTATTTTTGGTATTTTAAAGGGTGCAAGGTTGAATCTATCTCTCTGAATGTGGAGGCAGTGAACACGCATAGAGACAGACCAGAGGTAAGCACAAACTCACACACGTGCATATACATACACACAAAAGATGTACCATTTCAGCTTCTGATATCTTCTTCTGTATTCTCTCTCTCTCTCTAGGAGGTGAAGAGAGGCCCGAGCACTCTGATAAGGAGAAACAGTGTGACCCCTCTCACCAGCCCTGAACCCAATAAAAAGCCTCGCATTGAGGGTCTAGATGACCCGACCATCAGAGAAGTGACGCCCGCCCAGCTGACCCTGTGTTCAACATCACACACCACACTCGCTCTGTCCACACAGGTGAGCCACAGTTACTGGTCATAAATCTATAAGCTGTGTCATATCTTCACTCTCATCATAACCCTATAGTGACATATTAATCATTTCATGCTTCGCCCTTTCATATTCTCTTCCTGTTTCCTTCCATATCCTTCCTCTTTCACCTTTATGTGCTACAGCACTGGCTTAGTGAAGCTTGTCTGTAAGTATTTCCTATTTCTGTTTCTTTCTTCTTTAAATAATTTCACCTCGTCGAACCTTTCCAACTTGACTTTCACATACTTGTGCCACATCCTTAAATGGGCCATAAAGTATAATGGATTTTTCTTAAATCGGTGTATCGACTTTTAAACGCAACAAGAAAACATTTCTCATATCTTTCGTTGTTGACATCCAGTCAAACTCAAACTATATCTTAGTGCAAATGTCACTTAGTTATTTACTGAAATTACGCTACAAAAAGGGGCCAATCAGAAGTCTTTGTGATTATGATGTCTCAAGTTCATTAACAGAAGACAACCTTCATTTACATAACATTACCTATTCAGTATTTTACAACTTGGCCTGCCCTGATGAACGTTATTGTGAACCATGGTATAAAGATTAACCAATCATAACCAACCTTATTTGCATATATAAGTCTAAAAGGGTAGAAGAGAGGGTGGAAAATGGCCACGTAAAACCAAATTATAACTGATTATGCTGTAATCTTACAATATGGGTCCTTTAAATGTGGTATTGATGAAGAAATACATGTACACAAGCACAGTAGTTACACACCACTTCATGTTTATATCTTCATAACATGTAGATACCAGCTTTCTCATTTGTTCTACAAATGGTCACAGTCTGTCTCTTGCTCATCTTTTCCATGCTTAAAGACGCACTTTTTTACATTACCTACAAGTGGTTTCAGTGCTGCTCTTTCAGAGGTAATGCTCACAGAACCTAATAATGTAGAGTAGCTAAATAGTATAGCAATTTGTGAATAAGAACTGATTTTGGGACTAAATCTACAGAAATCCTGCAGAATACATCTGAATGTGGTAAAATGTGTGAAATGGAGGTAGAATTACACCCTGTTTTATAACCGGTATGAACATCTGGTACTTACATTTAGTGCTTGCTAACCATCCGAAACATGTCAATTACAAAATACCAGGTGTAAACAGGGTCAAATTAGCAAAATATTCAATAAACAAACGCGAAAGGCGTGTAAAATATGTAGAGCTTGCATTCGTTGTTCGAATTCTCTGAAAATATGTGAGCGTGCAGATTCCATGTAGACTTGTATAACGATAATAGCAAGTTTCTGTTATGCTAATTGCTAAATGCTATTAGCTGGCTAGCTGCTAGCTTGAGTAGACCAACTGTTCAGTAATTAACCGAATGTTCTGCATCATTTTTTTTCCGCAGAACCTGAAAAAATGCTCTATGGAGTGCCACGAACCCCCTCAGCTCTGCCTGTGACATTGTTCGGCTATATGGCTTTACTCAACGCGGACGAGTTTCCTGCCAAGCTGCTTCCTCTTTTCCTCTCACAGAGGAGTGTGCATCCTTCTCCCAAAAAAATGGACACTGAGTGCCACCTGGGTTTTTCTATTCGTCTATGAATTCATGATTAATGTACGTATTGTTTGGTTTGTACCAGTATGGAGATTGATGTTTTCTCTGTGTGTTTTGTGTATGAAGAGAAATCAGAGCCCAGTGGCAGGGATTAAACATTCGGCTAAGTGATGTTGTCAACCACCCCCACATTTTTGGACACTATTCCCTGTTTACATAACAGGATACCACTTGTAGATGTTTTTATTCTAGTCTCGGCTAGTTTTTTTTTTAACACTGACGGTAAGAATATGCCCTGAACTTTGAAGGATGACACTAAAACAGACCAAAGATCTCCTGCAGATGCTTGCGGGCTGATTTATGTCTATTCTGCACTCACTTTCAAAGATATGCTGCAAATTAATTGCACATTATAATTGCACATTTAGATTATTTGCATCTTCTGAGTGCAACAATGAATCTTACCATTTTTTTATGCTGCTCAGTTTTGAAGGCTGTTTAAAAGTTCTCATGTTGTCCACTGCAGTTTCAGATGATTTGTGTTATGGATTGTGAGTGTTTTTTTGTGTGTTTCGCGACAAGGTCACTGTGCGAGGTTATAAAAACAGGGTGTTTTATGCATCTTGGACAAAGTGAAAGTGTTTATATTTGTTGTTTATAATTAATGTATTTTATGGCGTGACGCATATCAGATACATTTTTATACCGTTCATTGATTGATTCCCTAGAGTGCCTAGTGCTTGAGCGATCAAGCCAGACCTGCTTTTTTACATTCTACTATGAGAATTATGTTTAAAAAAAAACAAAATTTGAATGAAATTAATACGTTTTTTTTTATTTCAGTTTCACTTTTGTTAGCATGTCTCAGCCTGAACAAGAGATTAAACTTGTAGCCTATTTGATAATTTGTGTACAGATTTACCCTTGTAATTCAAATGTTTACGGTTTGTTTTAATTTTTAGAAATAGTCCAATTTTAACTCTTCGAATCTAAGTACCAGCTTTAACTGTAAATGTATGGTTTCTATGTATTCTATTCATCACACACCTATAGGTGCAATGTTGTACATTGGCTCGAAATGGTAATTCATTTGTTCGCTTCTTAATACTTGAAACTTATTTTGTAATATCTTTCCTTTTTTTGTTAAAATAATATTTATTTATTTGTACTAGACTTTGTGTTATTAAGCACTTTGTTCATTGCTGAGTTTATATAGCATATCATCAAGTCTAATTGTCTCTTTCTAAAGGAAAGTGAATCATTTATATGCATTTACTGAATCAATAAACAGTCTAAAAGAGAATTTGTGGGTTTTTATTTGTTTTCACAGAACTGCATTTTCTTATCTTGTCATTTTTCCATAAATGGTCAGATACAGGGCGACAGTTTCCCATTTGTTTTTATTTAGTTACAAAGTATCCGTCAGTCCACATCCGAGCTCTATTTATGTTTTATGGCCCTCTGGACTCACCTGTTGGAACAGATATTAACTGTTGCCCTCAATGGAAACTCATTGTATAACCAGTCAGCCTTTCATTTACCATTCAAATTATTGTGAGATGATGCAATTTACATGTCACTTTAGTCACAAGGCATCTGTCACATGCCAACTTTTCCCTGCAGCAGGAAGGCAACATTAGATTAAACCTGAAAACATCGGATTTGTATAAACAGTTTAATAAACAGTGTAAACAAAAACAGCCATTGGTAACAGGATCAGCACAGATGGGAGTTTAGTTTTAAACAACACCAAAACATGATATATTTTCCTGGAGAGAATATTTAGTTAATTCTCAGGAAAACAATTTGAGTTTATTTTAAATCTTTGTATGTGTATATTTATTTAACTTTCATTAATATATATATATTTTTTTTAAAGTAGGGCAAGGGATATATTTTATTTAGAACATTATATATTTGATTCCTTTTAAATTAAAGTTATGAACAAAAATAAAATGTGATACAAAAAAAAGTAGAGATTATTTTCACCCAGAAATTGCTATAGAATTTCACAATTATTTACAAAGAAACAGCAAGTAACACAATGAATGAAATACGAAATTTTGAAGTAGAAAGACTTAATTTTCTTGTAAAACATACTCAAATAATCTTTGTTTTATTTTCTTAAAGTTAGAATTTTTTATTTTTTACTTTGCATGGACAGAGTATGTAGTTGAATCATTTTCAGTATATAAATACAGTTGTGTGTGTGTGTGGTTGTGTGGTTGTGTGGTTGTGTGTGTGTGTGTGTGTGTGTGTGTGTGTGTGTGTGTGTGTGTGTGTGTGTGTGTGTGTGCGCGTGTGTGTGACCATATTTAAGGCCTATTTTCACTGACCTACAAACCTTCCTGAATGTATCTGAAAATTGGAGGACTGCATCTTCCCAAATGTCATCCGATATACCAGGCATGGTACTGAAATTGGAAAATTATACTTTCAAAAATGATTACTTGTGAAACACTTTTCAAACAAAATAACACCCTAAATATACTTAATTATACCTAAACCTATTAATCTAAAATGACCATATAGTAAATGACAGTATAGCTCAAGAGTCTGACTTATCAGTAGGCCTAATAGTTATTTATAGCTCAGTGTTGAGTCTGAGCTCCAGGCTAAAGCGATGCAGAACATATATCGACAGACTGCGATCAGATCAGTGTGAAGTCAATCAGGTCGTCGGTGTTACAGCTTATCTCACGAGAGGAACCCAACGCCCCGGTCATGCACGTGCACGTGGATACCGTCGGCTCGTACTGCACACTCTATGGAAATGTCCCGCCAGCTGTGTTTTGGAAATATCCATAATATCTGTAAAAGCAACTGATGATTGTGGAATGTGACACATATTTAAAATGAAAGCAGTTTGTTATTATTGATGAGCATCATTTAAATTCCTGCGAGGGCATATTTCCCATTTGGAACGGGAACTTATTCTTTCATTTGGGTTAAGTTACATTATTGCAATGAACCATGATGTAGGCCTACTAGTGTGCTAATTCTACTTGGATGTAGGTGGTATCAGGGAAATAGGCTATACACTCACCGTCCACTTTATTAGATACACTGTACCGGGTTGGACCCCTTTTGCTTCAGAACTGCCTTAATTCGTTGTGGGCGGCATAGATTTAACAATGTGCAGGAAACAATTCTCATAGATTTTGGTCCATATTGCATTATAGCATAACGCAGTTGGTGCATGTCTTGACCATGTCTAAATGCACTGAGTTGCTGCCATGTGATTGGCTGATTAGATATTTGTGTTAACAAGCAGTTGAACAGGTGTATCTAATAAAGTAGCTGATGAGTGTACATTTACATATTTGTAAGCATTATGTTGGATAAAAATGTGAAAATGTTGCCAATAATTGTTGCCTAATGTTTTGGTTTTCCTGAAAGAAAAAGGTTTAAATGCACACATATACAAAAAGTGTTATTTTTAGAAGTAGCATACATTACGCTGCAGTGATTATACTTTTGTAAGCCGACCCAGAAGTTCACGGAATTTTTCCATTGGCTATCATTGCAGGCAGTATAGATGACCTCAGATCTAAATCCAAAGACATGGACGAAAATCCACATACAGTAATTAACATTTTTATTTCATTGGATAACTTTTGACATATATCAATATAATATCATTGCTTAATGTTTTAAAGTTTTGTTTTTCACGAAATGTGCTAGACTTGTATTTTCTCGTATTGTTTTCTTACAACCGGAGACTGTGGCTGAAGGAAGTTGGATCAGGATCAGGATAATAATGAAACCACACAGCTTCCTCTGAGTAGAGCTGACATAAATGTGCAATGGGCAAGAAACTCCACTCGTTCTCGGAAAACAAAGACGGTTCTAATTACTTTGGCAAATTGTGCTGGTTAATTAACGCTCATTTCCCCCAAACCTGCTTAAAGAGACTTTATGAAGTCTGACAGACATTATGAAGTTCCCATGAGGTGGTTATTTTGTGTGTGTTTGGATATTTTGGTCTATTTTGGTCTATGGAAAACCTTCATAACATGTAACATCCAGTTGGCCAGTGTTAGAATGTGACAGAATGTAGCTGAAAGAATAGCTGATCCATCTAAGGGTACGTTTACATGACAAAACGGTGCCCTTAAAAATTGTACTTTTACTTTTTCCGCGTATAGACTACAACATTGTCAAAACGATCCCCGTTACACGGATCCGCGTAAAGGACTAAAAACGCTGTATTATTCATGCCAGACCAGTAGTTAGCGATGTCACTTTGTGAAGAAACTACGCACCAATGTAGTAAACGCGTATTACGCATGCGCATGACGTCACCATTTCACAAATTCAAGTTTTTGTAGTTTACTCGGAGATGATAGCGATATCGTTTTCAAAAACTTGTACTTTGAAACCCCGTTTCAAAAGTTTGCGTTTTGAGTGTTGTCACGGGCGTAATTTCCTATGGGGACAGGGGGGACATGCCCCCCCCACTTTTCAAAATCCTGTTTGTGTCCCCCCCTCTTTCAAATTCGTTTTGTTATGATTTTTAACTAAAATTAAATAAGTCACCTGTTGTTTCTGTCGTTTCATTGCCCACTGTGCCACAAACGCGATACCTGCTCATTAGAACCTTCAGTGAGCTATTTTTAGAGTGTGCCAAGCTCTGGAGTGTGCACGCGACGTTCCTGGACGTGGACGCGCGCTTCGACAGGCTCGGTCCTGCTCCTCCGTGGTTGCGGCACAGTCAGCGATGAAACGCCAGAAACAACAACAGGTGACTTTAAGCTAGCGTCATATGATCCTGTTCTTATTCTTATTCATGTTTATTCATTTATGCGCGACAAAACAAAAGAAAACGCGCTGCCAGTGAATGTCCTCCTGATACACAGACACACACACACAGGACGCACAGAAAGACGCGCGCCAGTATCGCACAGGCAGCGCGCCAGTATCGAGTTCTATTTCGCCGCTTGAACGAACAAAAACACACATGTATGCCAAAATGTCCGTTTTGTCGAGTATCCTCACAAGAACAGTCTTAAATGAGTTAAATAAAATCTTAAATGAAAGTAAAGAGTAGTGAGAGAATGAGATGCATGAGATCCTGTCAGCAGGGCAGATCTTAAAGTGACAGCAGCCACAAATTCTCTCTGTCAGTAAAGTTAACCAAAGAACAAGGGGAACAGAAAAAAATTCTAACTGCTCTTGACTAAATAATGCTTGTAGCTTTAATAAGGATTCATCTATATTTAATTTATATTCATGCAGTGTGGACTGTTTGATAACCTTATTCAATTTCTGTATATTTCATACCTGGCACAGGTAAATATGACGTTTATTATGGGTTCATGTAAGATTTGTTTTAAGTTCACTTAAATTATAAGTTGTTATATTTTTTTGAAGCCTAATAAATGTTAAAAAAAATTATTTGGGGGGGGGGGGGGGTTATACTGTCTTTATGTTGTTTCTACATTACAGTGGAAATTGAGGCTCACATTATTTACATTTTTATTTACACACAAAACATTAATGGCTAACATTTTGACTTTATAAAATGATTCTCTAAAGTTTTGGCGATCGGTCCCTATAAACAATAAAGAAAGTAAGACATTTTTCTTATACATATAGCCTACTATTCTTTTTGGCAGA